GCACTTCGAGAGCAAGATCAAGGCCAAGTGAGTGGAAGGAAAGTGGAGAAGTGGAAGTGGAGAAGTGGAAGAGGGAAAGTGGAGGGAAAATAGAGAAGTGGGAAAAAAAAGTGGAAAGGGAAATTGGAGATGGGAGATGGAGGAGAATTTAAGGGAAAAGTAAGTGGAAGGGAAGTGGAAGGGAGGGAGAAGGTAAGTGGAGGGAAAGTGGACTCGGGAGATAAAAGGATTGTGGAGGGAAAAGGGAGGGAGTGTGGAAACGATGGATAAAAGTGTAGGAGTGATGGAACTAAAAGGGAGAGAAAATAAAGGGGAAGTGGAAGAAAAGTGGAATGGAGATGGAGGAGGGAAGAGAAGGGGAGGTGGAGGAGAAGCCGAAAGGAAGCGAAAGGCAAGTGGAAGGTAAAGAAAGAGGGGGGGGGGATGTGGAAGGGAAATGGAGGGGAGGGAAGAAAGTGGAGAGGAGGTGGAGGGAAAGGAAAGGAGAGGTGGAGAAGTTGTGGGAAAGTGGAGGGCAGGTGGAAGGGAAGCCGAAGGGAAGCGAAGGGGAAGTGAAGAGGAGGCGGAGACAGAAGGCAAAGGAATGGTGGAGAGGGAGAGGGAGGGAGGGAAGGAAAGAGAGAAAGAAAGATAAAGGGAAAGCAAACGGAGAGGGGCTTCTCCAAACACTATTGGGTAAGTATATATATATATATATATATATATATATATATATATATATATATATATATATATATATATATATATATTTTTTTTTTTTTTTTTTTTTTTTTTTTTTTTTTTTTTTTTTTTTTTTTTTTTCTTTTTTTTTCTTTTCTTTTCTTTTTTCTTTTTTCTTTTTTTTCTTTTCTTTTTTCTTTTTTCTTTTTTTTCTTTTTTTTCTTTTTTTCTTTTTTTTTTTTTTTTTTTTTTTTAATATATATATATTTGTGCGTGTGTGTTTACATATTTTTCTCTGCTCCTTTCTTTTTTCTTTTCTTTTCTTTCTTTTCTTTTTCAGTCCCATGGAATTCTATATTCTTCATTTTAGTTCTCAAACACATTCCTCCTCCTCCTTTATCTTCTCTTGTTTCCTTCTCCTCGACTCTTCTTCCTTCTTAACCCTCCTTCTCCCCTTCTCCTCTTTCTCTTCCTTTCTCCTATTTCCCTCATTCGTCTTTATTCCCAGTCACCTTTTCCCCTTTTTTGTCCTCCTCTTTCTCTTCCTCTTTCTCCTCCTCTTTCTCCTCCTCTTTCTCCTCCTCTTTCTCCTCCTCCTTTTATATCTTCTTATATCCTTATCCACAGCATCTTTCCTCTTTATCTCTTCCCTTTTCATCTCTTCGCAATCTCTTCTCCTCCTCTGTTTTCTCCTTACCTTTTCCTTTCCTCCTTTTCTCCTTACCTCCTTTTCTCCTTTTTTATCGTCTGATCTCCCTCCCTCCCCCCTCACCGAAATTGTCAGCTTTCTCTCTTTCTCACCTCTTCCCCTCACACCGTTTTTTTTTTGTTTTTTTTTTTTTTTTGTTTGTTTGTTTTTTTGCTCTTTTCTTCCATCTTTTATCATACTCTTAGATCTATTTCTCTATTTTTTTTCATCCTCTTATTCTCTTGTATCTTTTTTTCAACTTCTTAACCTCTTTTTCTATTGTTTTTTTTAAATATCTTTTAAATATCTTTTTCTATATTTTTTTTTTATTCTCCTAAATCTCTTTTCCTAATCTTTCCTTCATCCACCTATTCTCTTTTTTTTCATCCTCCTAAATCTTCTTTTTTTTTCATCCTCCTAAATCTATTTTTTTTTCATCCTCCTAAATCTTTTTTTTTTTTTTTCATCCTCCTAAATTTATTTTTTTATTTTTTTCATCCTCCTAAATCTATTTTTCTTTTTCTTTTTCATCATCCTAAATCTATTTTTTTTTCATCCTCCTAAATCTATTTTTTTTCTTTTTTTCATCCTCCTAAATCTATTTTTCTTTTTTTTCATCCTCCTAATCTATTTTTCTATTTTTTTCCATCCTCCTAAATCTATTTTTCTTTTTTTTCATCCTCCTAAATTTCTTTTTCTATTTTTTTCATCCTCCTAAATCTTTTTTCTATTTTTTTCATCCTCCTAAATCTATTTTTCTTTTTTTCATCCTCCTAATCTGTTTTTCTTTTTTTTCATTCTCCTAATCTATTTTCCCGATCTTTTCTTCATCCTCTAAAATCTCTTTTTTTCTTTTTTTTTCCATCCTCCTCATCTATTTTCCTATTTCTTTATCCTCATAAATCTCTTTTTCTATATTTTCTTTCATCCTCCTATTCTGTTTTTTTTTTTTTTTTCTTCATCCTCCTTAATCTCTTTTTCTATTTTTTTCATCCTCTTAACCTCTTTTCCTAATCTTTTCATCCTCCTTAATCTCTTTTTCTATTTTTTTCTCCATCCTCCTAATCTCATTCCCTAATCATTCCTCCATCCTCCTAATCCCGCAGACTACTCCTGGGCCCCTTCTGGACAATACAAGCCATGAAGAATTCG